CAGGACAGTGGCATCACTGTGTAATTGTTATCCTCTCTTTGTTCTCCTTCTTCTGTGACCTACTTACACCTCCATGTACAGTTGCACTGGTAGCACTGTTCAATGTGCCATAGAGCAATGCAGAAAACCCATATAACAATAAAAAGTCATATAAAAAGAGCACACACAGAGAATTATTTAATTTAGTAAAAACTAGTATCAATAAAATTGCCTATAGTAAGCATCTATCAGGCATATTTCAAGCTTCAGTGGGCATTCAGAAAGCATGTAGCATCTGCTACACACAACCAGTCCACTAAAGCTTGCTGAAAGAGGAACTGAACCCAAAAAGAAGCTGACAGAGGGCAAAGGGCTAGTGGCCTTTGGTCTCCCTGCAGCTGATCTTTTACCATTACTGTTATCATGCCTTGTTCTGCCATCTTAGTAGAGGTAGGGCTTTGGTTCCTCATGTCAGTGCCTCCAGCAAGGAGAACAGTGATCAGCAAAATAGTGACATCTGCGAATCTCACGCCAATGGCAGCAGTGCCTTATATCTCTCAAAGCAGATATACAGCTATGGGTGACACTGGGGCAAGAAATGGGGGTCAGGGGCTGCAGTCATCGCCAAAGCATGGACAGCAATAATAATATTGTTAGAAAGTTTAACCCCAATTAACCTCTCGGCATGAGGTGAAAAAAAATAGTGCATGCTATTGTGGAATCATGCATTGCAGCACAATGCGCACCTGCCAGGAGATGCAGTCGGAAGTCATTCAGGATGAATAGCAATGCAGTGCACCCAGCATGCTGCTAGCATTCCTTGCAAGGCTTTCCCTTTAATGAGGCAGCCTGAGGCTATTGCCTCAGGCAGCGTTTCTTTGGGTCGCATGGGGGCCAACAGGCAGAGTGGCCTGTTTGTCGTACACTAGGTGCTCTTCTGCAAAATGTTTGCAGTGTGCCTGCCACCCCCTTTCTGGCCAGAGCATCCAAGGTTTTTAAAGCCAGGCGGGGAGATATGCACGGTCCATAAACATCTCCCCACCCAGCTCTAAGCAATCTGGGACACTCTGGCAAGTGTCCTGCCCACTTGTTGCCAGGAGCTTGGCAGGACGCCGTCTGGAGTGTCCCAGTAAGAGTCAGGTGCGGAGATGCAGAGCCTGCAGAAGTTGGCATCACTATCGTGTCTGGTGGCACTGGCTCCTCTACCCACCTCCCGCTGCTCTGATTGCATGCACCCCCCACCACTACCCCCCCCCCCCTTCCCCAGCCTCAGGCGGCAAAAAGGCAAGGGACACCCTTATTTTAGAACATATTCACTAGTGTAAACATTGTAAAAAGGCAAAAGTGGTGTTTTTATTTTTAATTTGTCGGAGGTTCTGCTGTAACTTTTCGACAATTTTGCCAGAACGATTTCAGTTAGTTTTACCTTTATTTCTTGACATTGTCTCATCCGCTCCAGAAATCATTTCATTCCCTTCGGTGTCATGAATATTTTATGAACGTTTTCAAAGACTGGGTTTACTTATATGTAAAAACTCGGTATCCTCCTTACACCTCATCCAGAGATGAGATGCCCGATCCTTCCTCCCTCTCCTGCTCCTTAACATTGCGTTCTGTCATTCCTCAATAATAATCATAAACACGGCTATATAAGTGATTTGGTTTAGTCCGCTTTCAAGTAAATTGAAAACCGTTTGATGGAGTGTTAAGCGCGCCGCATTATGGATCCGACATAAATTCTATACTTTCCCCCTTTTACAAGTGAAAAATTCCCTTAAGCTACTAAAATAATCATCGGCATTTCAGGGGGAAAAAAAAACAGGTTTAAGAGAAGTTTATAAGCCTATGGAAGAATTTGATCTTTTCCTCAAATTGCATATCGTTTTTCATTGCGCTTTCCATCGCTCTTCCGTTAATGCTTTCTGTAGAATTATTCCTGCACGTGTGACTTTCTTGAATGTCCCCGGGCAAGCCGGAGAAAATCATAATATAACAGCAATCAGTTTCTGATGAGACTCTTATTATTATTGATCAGTTATACTTTATTTAAAGTGAAACTCTCGTTCAAATGTTCTTTTCTCATTACCTATGTTGTACAGATTGCTTGTCAATTAAATAAGTGTGTACGTGTTTTAAAGTGTATCTAAAACTCAAGGACCAACATGTAATATATTGCAGCTTACCAGCCCAGACGGGGATCTGCATTAGTTTTCATTGTTAGGCTTTTTTTTTTCACCTGCTGATCCTGCCAGTAACACACCTCCTGTCCTAGGGTGACAACGTTTAAGGCTTGTTCACACCATTTGCGGTGACTGTCAGTTTTCTGTACTGGATCAACACCGGTGACCCCAAGGGCAATGCAATGCGCAATGCCTCCAGGACTTCTCTAGAGTCTCTCCCATGCTCTAGAACTCTTTACCCCAACCTGTCAGACTATCTTCCACCCTGACTGCCTTTAGGTGATCCCTTAAGACTCATCTCTTCAGGGAAGCCTATCCCACGTCAAACTAACCACTCAACCATCAGGTTCTCAGACAATTCATCCCCACACCGCTACCTCGTCATGTATCACTTGCCCCTCCCTTCCAGATTGTAAGCCCTCATGGGGCAGGGCCCTCTTTACCATCTTGTCTTGAATTGTATTGTGACTGTAATGTCTTCCTTATATTGTAAAGCGCTGCGCAAACTGTTGGCGCTATATACATCCTGTATAATAATAATGCAGTCATGGCTGCGGAGGTCACTGAACTGCAACATAGCACTTTCTGTGCGGAGACCTTGAATGGAGTATGTACTTTGTTCGCTGCCAATATAGTAAAAAAAAAGTATACGGTGCCTTGTGTAGTGGTGCCTAACACAAGACACTGCTATACACCATTGCCACTCAGTGGGCACCAGTCGCATGCCAAAACGGAGCGTTTTAGCATGCAGCTTGTGTGAACCCAACTTACTGAATGTATGTGGAAGTAGCCTTGTTGTCGTCACTCCAGGACACCAAGTATGTTAGGACTACAGGACACTTACAGAAGTATGTTAGAACTACAGTACTCCCTTCTCATCTCCATAACATGTGGGGGAGATGTCCTGTAATCTATCCCACGTCAATTGGTCAGGGCTAATAACAAAGCTTGAGCTACAACTATAGAATGCACAGGGCAGCATTGGATTTCTGGCAGGATCAACAGGGTCATGGAACAGATATAACAAACACTTTCAGTGGTATATTTAAAGGGTTAGTTCACCTTTAGGCACATTTCCAACAAAATCCCCCATATATGTCAGCATCCCCAGCACATTACACTGTTTAGCTTTTATAAAAGGTGAACCCTTTCCACTCCATACCTGTAGGCTGTGTGTGGCCTGTCTGCAAAAACTCTTGGTATGATCCCCCCGCCCCCCACACACACGCGTTGACCTTTGAAAGCGATGAGTACTGTGGCTCATTCCAACATTAACTCTTTAACAAGCCAAAATGGCAAATAATTGAAGTTCCTGTTTAGACTTCATTCACACGAGAAAAGGCCGGCACGTACAGCTCCGTGCTGCGTGCGCGGCCGTATCGGGCCGCTCCCAGGAAGGACAGGTGCTGCGTGTGATTAGTACGCAGCCCCTGTCCTTCTCTATGGGAGTATGTGGCCGTACGCCGCCCTACGCTCACCCGCCCTGCACGTCCGTGCGGGTGAGCGTACTCATACTATGATATGATGGATCCTGTCTGCGTCCGAACCGGGACACCCACACCTGTATGGATCTGCACTTGAAGTGAGTGTAGGGCGGCATATGGCCGCATACTCCTATAGAGAAGAACAGGGGCTGCGTACTAATCACACGCAGCACCTGTCCTTCCCGAGAGCTGCCCGATAGGGCCGTGCACGCAGCATGGATCTGTACGGGCTGGCTATTTCTCATGTGAAGGAGGCCTTATGGTTTACATAAAATATAAGATGATTATGCATGTAATAATCTTACTGTACAATCTCCTTTAGATCAACAACAGCTTGCAGTATGGGGTTGGGTATGCAAGAAAAATAATGAATTTGTTTTTGTACTGAGCGTTATTAGAGTCTCAGAGCTAAACCTATTCGCTAAAAATCTCAAGAGGCTTTGACATTAATGTCATGACATGATGTTAATGTCATTCAAAAGTCTATTGAAATCTTTTTGAATCTGCAGGTGTCATTAGGGAAATATATGGGGATCCTGCCATGGAGGTTCTTGTTTAGACACTTCTTGTTATGGGGTGACAACTGCCTCTTAATTGTCTCATTTGCCTCTGGTTGAAGCTTCAAGCAGCCATGCCGACACACATTGCACTGGCATGGTTACCATCAGGAAAGGACCTGAATCCTATGAACGTCCTAATCCTCTAATTGGCTAACGGCAGTGTAGTCTGTATTGGCTTCCACCAAAACTGTGGATTGTATGATCGTGACAGAGACAAATGTTATGAGTTATTCCAACGCTATATTAATTAGTAGAGCATAACATTACTCAGAAGTAGACATGTGCACTGCCCAAAAATTTGTTTCGTTTCGTTTTAAATTCGGATTTGTGTTATTTTGTTTTTCAGGATTCGGGTGTGAAAGTCAATTCGGATTCGGAATTCGGATTCGGACGAAATTCGGTAGCGTTAGTACGAACGTTCGTTTCGTTTTCTGTTCTTATTCGTTTCTTATTCGTTTCTTATTCGTTTTGTTTGCAGCAAAAGTGACATTTGAGGGGGAAAAAATATTTTTCTCCTTCTCTAATGTCACTTTGCTCCAACGAACGAAACGAATAAGAA